TAACTGATATTAATATATCGTGCACTAAACATGCTCCACTATTTTGTGTGGAAAATACAAAAACAAGATATTGTGAAGAGTTACAATTGTTAGAGTGTTTTATATATATATATATATCTTCTATATATTAAAAGTGGCTATGTAACGGAATTTCTTATTTTTAACGGAAAAACTAACGGAATTTGTTGTTTTAACGGACTACGTAACGTACAAAACTATTGAATATAAACTAGGCAAACGTGTATTGCACGTTGTTTGCACCTAGTATCTTCTATATATTAAAAGTGGCTATGTAACGGAATTTCTTGTTTTTAACGGAAAAACTAACGGAATTTGTTGTTTTAACGGACTACGTAACGGAATTTCTTGTTTTAAACAGGCAGCTACATCTTCTTTCAGTATTTTTATCATAAATTTGTATTCCGATATCCGATTGAGGCGATTCAAAATGCGTTGGAAAGCTAACTTATCTGGTTACAACTTTGATTCAGACATAATTCTCCAATTCGATCACTTTCTATGCCAAAAATAGATCTCAATATGAGACTAAAACATTGGAGCATAACTTTTCGGTTGGAAATTGATTTGTGATCATCTTTTGACTAAATTTGATTCCATTGACGTCTTCCTTTATCCAATTGACTCCGAGCACTCTCAAATCTTCATCGTGAGGTTCGGCACAACTTTTAAGTATTTACATTTTAGTCCCCGCACTTTTGATCCCTTACAATTTAGCCATTTCTTCAAATTTGTCAACTTTTGCTTATTTTCTTCGATCTCATCAACTTATATCACAACATCAAAATCACACATCTAATTATTTATCAATTACATAAACATTACATCATTAATTATTTAATTAACCAAAAAAATTACATCATTATTAATAACAAATTAATTCTTAAACAAAACTATTAAATATAAACTACGTAAACGTGCATTGCACGTTGCTTGCACCTAGTATATATATATCAAGTTAATAAAATATGCCACCACAAATGATTTTAATTTTTATTAAAAAAAATGGATTTACCACACTTCTTTGTAACCAACATTGAGCACTTATTTGCATTAGTTATCACCCACAAGCAACGTGAAGGCTAAAGTCACTCACTCAACAATCACATGAGTACTTACAAATATATGACAATCATCTTCGAAAGTCGACCTTTAAAGTAAATTCACAAGGTGGAATTTTCACGAGTGATATGAAATGCAATGGGATCGTAACAAAATTATGTACACTTGTAGGCATTTTGATGATTTTGCTAACTTCACATAGTGTTCAAATCACTTTTCATCCTAACTAAACTATCGTCCGAAAAAAAATAATCCCAATTCATGCAGATTAAGTACGGCAAGAGCAATCGAAAATGTAACAGAGTACCACTAAATCCAAACTAGAGTACCGACGTGATATTTTAAAGCATTCGATTGACTAATTATCCCTTATTTAATACGCTTGATATATATCAATTTTAAATTTAATATAACATGGAGAGATTTATAGGTTGAAAGAGGGGGAGGACCTATGTACATATTTTTGCAGCTACTAACAATAAATTGTTGGACCACGATGCGAAAAAGCAGTCAATCCATGGACCAAAACCATAACCATGTGCACCATATGTCATACCTTAGGGAAAGCTGCGGTTGTGGCCGTATCAACTATTTTACCCTATGCCCATCACGTGTATATGGACCATATGCACGTCTCATAATATTATAACACTTGTACTTTCACTATGCAATATTATTATTTAGTTTTGACGTTTTTTGTTAAAATGTCAATCTTATTAATATTAAAGGATAAATTCCACATTAAAATAAATAATCAACATATAAGATGCGACGATATGACTCCCGACCATGGTTCACCGGATACGATCCAAGCATCAACATGGTGCATGTGAGATTATGGTCTGTATCTAGTGGACTTTATGTATGTTAACGTTACGGATCGAATGTCGCATGGTAGAACAGTGGAACATGCTCAACATGGACGGATCCAGGACCGAATTACAGGTCGAGCTAATACGTAAAAAAAAAATTACCCATGATTTCTTTTTACATAAATTTTTTTTTCTAACTAAAAAAAATTAGTTGGGGGAGGGTCCCCCCCCCCCCCCCTCCATCCGTCTATGATGCTCAGGTTTCCCTTCTTAATAATATTGACGTTTTAAGATAAAAATTCAAGACTCAATATGGTATTAGGGCTCATAATAATAAAATGATTCATTTGAACCATATAGTGTGCTCCTACAAGCCACGTCATGTAGAGATATTTTTGAATGATAAATCTTACATCGATTATAGATGGCATAAATGACCGACACATTGGAGTTGAGTACTTGATTCACTTATGGTAAGTTATTCACAAGATATGTACTAAATTCCTCCAACCACATTCACCCCCAATTCAACACCCATGGCCTTGGGAGTTGGCGTGGACGAGAAGCGTTGGTGGACATCTTAGAGCCATATAAGTAAAGATCGAAAACTCAAATGTCACGAAAAAATGAATAGTGTTGTTTTGGAATAATCAAGCCATAGTCCTTAAATGACCTAACGATAAACCACAAACGATAAGCTAGCAATAATCTCTGGACCCATTTACAAAGGTATATCAAAGACATTCACTAAGAATCCATGTTTAATAGGTACATTTTATTGATATGTACTATTTCTATGCTCTTTCTTTTTCTTCGTTTCACAATCGCAGATGCGTATGAATAGAAAGACGAGAACATAAATTTTGGGACCAAGTTACGTAGCACCACTGATGTCAATTATTTCATGGTCCAAATCAATTATTTGTAGCCCTTTAAGATGGTCCAAATGATTTTTATGAAGAAAATTCCACTTGATATTGATTTTGATTTGATTCGACGTGATATTGATTTTTATTTTGTATAATTGTATATAATCCTCTTGAGTGTGTCGGAATAACTCCCACATGCTAAAAAGTTACAAATATTAAAACCTAACCCAAGATTAGTGTCCATCTTGAATGTCTTCTTCAAGATTATTCTTTATCATTTTCGAATTTAGTTACATTATGTTTAGGTTGGATATCCCTTTATTTTCTACTGTTGAACGGTCACACGTTAATCGATCTTTGTTCAGACGTCTGATTCCAAATCACCTTAGTACAAACATTGTACAAGTTTAGGTGGGATTTTTAGATCTTCACCTAAATCTAGGGACGGATGGATGGGGGGTTGGGCCGGGTTGTAGCCCGGTCCAGTTCCCACCTACTGAATTTTTTTTAGTTAGAAAAAAAATATATGTAAAAAAAAAAAAAATCATGTGTAATTTTTTTTTATTTATTAGCCCGGTCTGTAATTCGGTCATAAATCCGTCTCTGCCTAAATCCCATAAACACGGTCTATGTCATAGTGTTTCCGAATGCAATATTTGAAATTTTCAACAATCAATCTAATATAAGAAATTTTTGGGTGGTTTATCGGTCGAAGATGCCAAAGCCATGGCTCTACATTAAATTCTTTATCTAGCCACTAGACTTGGATTCTAGATTAACATTGCTGAAGCCTCCAGGGCACATCTTCAAGTGGTAAAAAAGAAAGGTGGAAAAACTCCATCTTTGCTTAATGTTGGCGCGTCAAGTGTTCGAATCCTAAAATATGGATTTTGCCCTTGAGTAAGTACAAGTATACAAGCAGTCTTTCACCCTGTACCCTTGGAGGCATAATCTGCGATTTACCTCCTTCACCAAGGCCAGGGTAGGGTAGGTGGGGGCCATCAAGGATGCGGCTCATCCTTTTTTTTTTTTAGATTAACATTGCTGAATGTGATTTTCTTTGAATTGTCGAGAGAGTCAATCAAATTTTGCTTTTGCATAAAATGTTGTTAAGAGTTTTTAAGGTGTGACAAGACCTAGCTTCAAGTCTTATAAGTCTATAAGTGAAAGGGTATTTTCTTATTTTCAATATTATTTAATTTATTCTAAAATAATTAAGTTAATAAAATAAAGCACACCAATAACAAAAATCATAAATACTATAATTAATTAATAAATTCTACAATTAGACAATTTTCAACTTTTTGAAAACCATGCAATTGAAAATTAAAAGCACGTACAAGATTCACTTTGAGGTAAATAGGTTCAACAAATCTTCAACGCTAGTTTAGTGCCTAAACCCAGGTTAGTCATTAGATCCTCGAAATGATTGCAAACATTGAAAAATAAAAATAAAAAATAAAAAGCGTTAGGCGGTAAAGAAGAGTTGACTGCCTTTTTTCACTCCTTGTCCATTTACGAGACATTGTGAGAACAATTGATCACCGTCGCCTTTTTATGCTTTTTAGAACTCTGGTGAAAATAAATGATGGTCCATACACAAAATTATTATATATATGCGTCATTGATAGAATAAATTCAACGATCATTTGAAATGAAATATATACATTGATTTTTCTAACAACTTATATGCGACATGATTTATGAATAACGAAAATAAAATATAAGGGGTGTCTGTTCCTAATTTTTCATGAATTAAAATCAGAATATGGAACGTTAATGGGGCCCGCGTGAGAGAGTGGAAGTCAATTATTGCTGCCCAACGGTCTGATTTCTGATGAAAATCCACCCAAAAAGCTTCTCTAGACAGGGTCATAGTATATATTTAGGGTACTCGACCTTACCTCCAACTATGTGTACAAAAATATAAACTTTTCCCATTGGTCGTAATGAAATACATTTATATTCAAACCTCAGAAACATTCTAATAAGTACGTATTTTCACTCGACAAAAAGCTAGAATCTAAATGATTTGTTTGACGGAGTCGAGGACGAGATAGTATTAATGACTACAAGGAAATTTGTCAATATACTATCTACTCGTCTGCTATTGCACGTGCAAGGAATTCACGTGATTAATAAAACAATTTACTAATACAAATTTACACGAACTTATATTTTTGGATGAAATTTACATGCACCAATTTGTCGGCGGTGGCGCCGCCGTATGTAGCGGTGGTTAATTACTGATATTCCAACAAGTCTCAATGTCATCGGCAATTCTCTTTGCGTCGAAAGATATGCCTAAAATGCCACGTTTTGTGAAACCAGCAGCATATAATCCGTTTTTGCCTTTCCATCCCTTTGGAAATGTTTCCTTGGGAAACCCATCTTTCTCAGAGAATAAATCACCTCCCTAATTACACCAAAATTTTGAACAAAATTAAGAAAACTAAAGTGCAATGACCCAAAGTTTTGAAGTAGCTTCAATTGAGATAAAATTGAAATATAATCACCTAATTGACACAAAATTAAGTATAATTATCCAATTTCAATTGAGTCTAAGGCTCTATTTGATTGCAAGAATGAAATTTGAGTGGAAATAAAATGAATTTCAGGGAATTGAATTGCCTAAAACTTATTTTACTGAAAATTGTCAATTAATTATGTTTGATTAGTATAATTTTTCACCTGAAAGATATTGAAATTTTGGATCTTTTGATATTCGTTTGGCTCTGTTTTCCATGAAAATTGTCAATTAAAGGGATAAAATTTGTTTTCATTGCTAAAAAAAATTTAATAAATAAATAATAAAAAAGAAAGTTGTCTAGAAAAGTTTTTCCCACCTAAGTGGTGAGAAAAGATTTTTCTCAAAAATCAAGAAAATGTGAGCATGTGAGTGAAAGATAGAAAACCAATTTCATGAAAAATTTGGGCAATCAAACATGTAAAAATGTGGAAAATTGAATTTAATTTTTATCGTCCACGGAATTGAAGTTCAATCAAATAGAGTCCAAGTGAAGTGTCAGCAAATAGAATATTTAGAAAAATAACTTTTAAACATTTCCAAACAGACTCTTGAAAATTTGAAACATCATGCATGTTTGGCTAAGCCCAAAAGTTTATTTATAAGTAAACAAACAAATAATTAATTTAGTTGGTTGGGAAAAAAGTGGAATTAAGTTAACCAAAAGCAACTTATATTTTACCAATTTTTTTATTATTTATATATAAGAAAAAAGTAGTACCTTCAAAAAGAGGGAGAGAGGGAGAAAAAGTAACATATATGAAAACTTATTCACTTAAAAGTAAATTTGACATTCGTTTATGTGAAATATATAAGAGCTTACCATCAACCAATCTGGTACATTACTTCTATATCCTGTGGCTAAAATTATGGCATCAAAATTCTCCACTTTCCCATCTACGAACTCCACTGCATGGCTTGTAAGTTTCTTAATTCCAGGAACAACCTACGTATAGATCAAGAATCAGTATTGTCACAACTAAACAACGAACTAGATTTTAAATTCCTTTTAACAAGACACGAGATATCAAGATGATGCGAAAAGAGACCTTTATATTTCCCGCTCTAATTTTCTCGAGTGTGCCAAAATCCAAGACCGGTGTCTTCCCCGTAGTGAATTTGAGTTCAATCGGGCCTAAAATTGGTCTCTTGAGTCGCAAATTCGCAGTGCTACCGAGCATAAAATGTGATATCGCAAGTAAAAATCGATCAACGAGCTTAACGGGGAACCATTGTAGCAATTTCATGGCCAGGCCGAAAGTTGATATCCCAAACATCTCTTGAGGCAGAACGTGCACCTGAAATAATTAATTGTGAATTTCAAAGAAAATGCTTTTGAATATTTTTTTAAAGATGAAACTGGTAAACTAAACCCATTTTTTTAATGCTTCAATAGAATGAAACTTGGAAGACTTTCTGCACAAGTACAAAGCATGCAACCGGATTCCAAGAAAGTTGAAAATATATTGGAACTTTTTCAATGGCTCTATCGATATATGTAGATCGTTTGGTAAAATGGACTGTAATGAATAAAACAAAAACGTTTAAATTCTTTTCTATTGTTATTTGTGTGCAGTCACATCCAAAGAGAAAAATGACAAGATCGACATGTCATTGACATGGAGGACGTGTTAAAAAACTATTAGCTTAAGCTGTGACTTCCCACTTACCGAATCCCTAACGACGAGAGACGGGCTAGCGTTGCAGTTGCAGAGGTCCAAAGAAACCTCCATACCAGAATTCCCACATCCAACAACCAAAACCCTTTTCCCTCGAAACGAATCTCCACTCTTGTAAGAACTCGAATGAGTTATCGGCCCAACAAATTCATCGATGCCGTCAAACTCCGGCATCACCTCTTCGGCATTCTCACCAGTGGCAACGATCAACCATTGACAAACATATTCCCTCTCCTCCATTTTAATCCCGATCGTCGTAACCCGCCAAAACCCATCAAATCTTGCACTCACAACCGTCTGATTGAACTCAGGCTCCAAGTTAAAGTGTCGAGCATAGGCTTCCAAGTAGGTCACAAAGTCTTGTTTGGTTGGATAATTAGGGTAACTTGAAGGAAATGACATTAGAGGGAGCATGCAAAAATCCTTGGGAAGGTGGAGCCTAAGCCGGTCATAGGTTTTGAGTTTCCAGAGAGAAGCTATGCAATTAGCCCGTTCAAGAATCAAACTCGGAATGCCTTTTTCTTTAAGACAAGCTGCCGTGGCTAGACCAGATGGCCCAGCTCCGATGATTACTGGCCCGTCCACCCAAACAACCCTCCTCCTTGATCCGGACATTATCGTATTTTCAGAACGATCATGAATTCTTTTGCATGCCACTTCCTTCAAGAAATCCATTAATTAACAACGAAATTGAGAACAATATAGTGCTCATGCAAATTAAGGACAAAATCTTGAAATGGGGTGTTTTGTATATATAGACAAGAAGAAGAGTGAAGTGGGGCGCATTCTTAATTAGAAACAACTACCAGTAACCAACAATGTCTTCTTGGCCCTCTTTACCCTATTTGAATACGACCCAAAATTATGTGCGAGAGAGGGGGGAGAGTTAGTGAGTAATTCTGATTGAGGTGACGGCTATCCAATTAAGCTGTATTGAGGCGGCGCCGGGAGTCTCGAATGCAATGCTGAACTGTGTAGAACATATTTATTCCATCGTCGATCATCAGTTTACTCTAACATTCATACAAGTACCGACTCGTACTAACATTATTATTATATAAAGGATGTATTCCGAGGCAATTTTTAAATTGCAGGAGAGGTGTAAAGAAAAGACCTCCACATTTTTGTCTTCTTTATATTGAAAAGAAATAATGATATCTATTGTCAATGATCATCATCATCAGTATAAGTGACACTGGTGCGGAAGCGTTTATGAAATTCTAATAATAAGAATTATGTAATAAATAAGAATGATATGTGAACAATCATGTCTAGTATATATTGAATAATAATTGATTGTTGTTGAAAAGTGTACAATACTCCTATATTTATATGCAAAATTATTCCCTAATTCTATTAATAAAAGGAAATTAAAATAATGAAACTAATAAAATCCTAATCCAATTGAAAATCCTATTCTAATCAATAAGTAAAAGAAATCCTATCTAAACAAGAAATAAGAATAAAAAAAATAAAACATATTAGAACTAGAAAAGATAAATCACAATTGTAGCAGGAAACTACTAATCATAATTATGTACTACATCAGACACTAAACTCAATTGACTACATGAAACAATGAATAGGGGCCCACTATCACCTAAATTAACAATAATATTGCTGGTGGCATAGTAGTACTCGTTTGGAGCTTAATCTGCAATTGATGTGGACAGACAAAATAATCCAAGGAGCAATGTTATGGGTACAAGAAATTATCCACATAATCCAAAGAGCAATGCTATGTGTACATGAAATTATCCACAAAAATGGAGAATATACACACAACAAGTGAGCCCAATTTTTTTAACAATATTTAATTCATGTGGATCCCGTCACTCGTAATTCAAAATTCTGTAGAAAATTTGTATTTTTTTTCCTATAATTGCAGCCTTTTTCTAATCCAAGTACTCAAAATCATTTTCAGAAGAAACGACAAAAGAGAGAAAGGAAAGTGACTCGTTGTTTAATCAATGGTAGTATATGAGAAATTTCTCTATTCTGTCCATCTCTCTTTCCATGACAAGTGTTGAGTATGTCAACAAAGGCATTGTGCACTTTATTAATGATCAAGAAGACTATTGCGAATGCAGATTGAAAGTTACCAATTCAACCCTAAAATTATCTAATAGGTAAATAATACGAAATTAAATTTATCAATTAAAAGTAATAAGTCATTTTTTAATTTTTTTTAGATATTTAGTCAATCAAGTCAAATTATCATATATTCAATTGTCGCAATAAATAATTAAAGAAGTAAATAACACAAGATTTTATGACGGAGAAAATCCCTTAACTGAGTAAAAATTCTGGAACCAAGTCAGTAATTTCTACTATAAACAACAAGAACTTATAGTATGATCCAGCCTAAAAAAATCAATAGACTCGCTGATCTAATTCTTGCAATCTCCAAAACCCGCTGTAACGTGCTTCACTCACACCTGCTCTCAATCTTCTGAAATTGTCTATCTTCTATGGAACACCAAGAATGCCTCGTTCTTGTACTCTTGTGCTTCGGGTCCAACCTCGCTCAAACTTCAACAATCTCTGAAGGCTATTGAGAAAGTACGCTTCTAATAATATTTAGGAAGTGAGTGTATTGGATTATATGAATTTGATGTTTTCCACAAACTTGTAGTTGATTAATCTCAATAATCAAAAGGTAAAACTAAAGATTTGGATGTATTTTTTGATCTTGCAAGAATGATATAAGGAAGTAAAGCAATGATCAACCCCACTTTTGGACGTCCATAGGGTAAGATATATATAGGTAAAAGTGTTTGGAATGAAAATGGATTGAAAAAGCAAGTATTTGAAGCAAAACGGATTTTTGGTTGTCGATCATCACCCTAGTGCCAAGCCGAGATAGGCTAGCAACAGCTGAGCATTCGTCAGTATTTTTATCATAACTTTCTCTCCTGATATCTGATTGAGGTGATTCAAAATGCGTTGAAAAGCAAACTCAAATAGCTATATTTATTCTAGCAATAGTCTTGTCCAAATTCTAATATTTTCTATGTGAAAATGCATTGTAAGTTACGACTAAGAATCTGAAACATAACTTGTGCAGCAATTTGATACTCGTTAAACTTTTAATTGCATTTCCTTGATCATATGTGATCATCTTGGACTCCTTCAAGGACTATAATACCCTCCAAAAGACTCCTTGACTTTTACAATTATTTTGTAACAATCCCATTCTTTTACATAATCCATATGTCTAAAGAATTTCCAATACAATTAAAAACATCTAGTCAACTCCTCAAGTTTGGATATAAGGCTCTCTTTTTCTAATTCAGATGCATTAACATTTTTAAGCACTGATTTATTCACCTTCTTAATCTGACTCTTCTCAAATTCATAAGCCTCCCAAATTTTCATATCACACTCAAATCCCAAATCAGAAATTGATTGACTCATCTAGACAAAATTTTGGGTCAATGATCGCTATTTACTTCTGATACCACTTGAAAGTTACTAGTTCAACTCTGAAATCACCTAATAGGTGAATAACACAAAATTAAATTTATCAATGAAAAGAAACAAGTCATTTTTTAATTGTTCTAGATGTTCAGTGAATCAAGTCAAATTATCCTATATTGAATTGTCGCAATAAATAATTAAAGCGATAAATAATACAAGATTTGAAGACAGAGAAAACCCCTTAGCTGGGTAAAAATTTCGAGACCAAGCTAGTAGTTTCCACTATAGACAATAAAAACTTATAGTATGATCCAACCTAAAAAATCCACTGGACACGCTAATCTAATTCTTGCAATCTCCAATACCCGCTAGAACGTGCTTCACTCACACCTACTCCTGATCTTCTTGAATTGTCTATCTCATGTGGAACACCAAAAACATCTCGTTCTTGTACTTTTCCTATTCTTCTGGTTCAACCTCCCTCAAACTTCAAAAGTCTCTGAAAGTTGTTGAGAAAGTACCTTCCTAATAATATTTAGGAAGTGGGTGTTTTAGATTATATGAATTTGATATTTTTCTCAAACTAGTGGTTGATTGATCTCAAAAATCAAAAGGTAAAACTAAATATTTGTATATGTTCTTGAATCTTGAAAGAATTATATAAGGACGTGGAGCAATGATCAACCCCACTTTTAGACGTTCATTGGGTATAATATATATAGAGAAACGTGTTTGGAATGAAAAGGGATTGAAAAATCAAGTATTTAAAGTAAAACAGATTTCTGATTGTCGACCGTTGCTCGAGTGCCAAGCCAGCGATAGGCGAGCAGTGGTTGAGTAGTTGTCAATATTTTTATCATAATTTTCTCTCCCGATATCCGATTGGGGTGATTCAAAATACGTTGAAAATCTAACTCAAATGACTACAATTATTCAAGAAATATTCTTGTCCAAATTCTAATGTTTCCTATGTGAAAAATGCTTTGCAAGGTACTACTAGAATTTGGAATATAACTTGTGCAGCTAGTTGATATTCTTTAGATTTCTAATTGCATGCCCTTGATCATATGTGATCTTCTTGGACATTTTGGATTCATTCAAGAACTATACTATCCTACAAAAGATTCCTTGACTTTTACAACTCTTTTGTAACCATCATATTCTTTTATAATAATCATTTTGTCTAAAAAAATTATCATTACCATTAAAAACCTAACACAGATTTTGATGGACTATATGCTCTTACAAAATAAATAAATAACATAAAATAAGCTCTTTACTATAATTACGCATCATAATACCTACCAAGGAAAAATGAATCTTTATTACTTTCGAAATTAGATGAGTGCTTTCTTAAAATTTGTTGTCATTAGACAATATCATCATCCCGATACTCTTCTTTCCTTTAGGGGTTACACCGCATATATAGTAATAAGTTGAAATGAAATTGAATAATAAATAACACTTCAAATGGTGAGAATGGATTCCAAAGAGCGAGTAAATAATTTAGTTCTATTGGTTGAATGCTAAAGATAGTGCTGCCAAATATTCTTTTTTTTTTTAATCATTTTGAAGTATTTTAATACATCAAAGTCAACGAATCGTGCCGAGTCCAATTTTTTTTTTGCATAAACCTAAGATACATAGGTTATAGACAGTCTCTAACTCAAGTTTGCACAATCCATATTGTTGTGTTTATAAATTTGTCATGTGGGTCTACATATATAGTTAATTGTGTATGATACTATATTAAAGTTGAGCTCAATTTAAGTGATCTAATAGAAAATTAAATTGTTGGGTTTATGGCATCTAAATAAAGCGTGAGTCGAATTATATGTGTAGCGACCGGATCCATTAGGGTTGTATTGACGATTAGCCAAATACGTATAAAAACTATAAATAAGGTTATAATCCTCAATTTATATGCAATTTATCATTCTTTGTGTTATCGCATCAACACAATAATACACGGGAAAGTGTTGAAGAGAAGATAAAAAACCCACAATCAAGAACAAAGATTAAAAAATCAGGAATCAAGAAAAATAATTGGAGAAATTAAATTGAAGAACAAGATAATCAAGATTATGGAGCAAAAAAAAAAAAAAAAAAG